AAAAGCAGCAGAGTGAGCCCAGGCGAGGGGCGGGGAGGTGGAGGGAGGGGGGGGGCAGAGGTGAAGAAGTAGAAGGCATCAGACAGAAAATAGCTTGCTGCTAGCATATCTGCGTTTGTCGCGGCCGAGACACGCGAATCGCAGCCGTGACTTCTGGCATTTTTTGGTCCGCGAATCGCGGCCGAGATTTTTGCATTTATATATATTATATATATACATAATACATTGTCATTTAATTTCAAAAAAGGAAAAGCTACTTCATCACTTACTTAGGCAATTTGATAATTTTGATTTTAAAGTTTCCATGAACAGCTATTTTCATGCGAAGAATATAAATTACATACTATTTAGATCTATTGCTGTTTGTCTTTTATTACATCATGTATTATTGTATTCCCTCTGTTTTGGTGTGTTAATTTTTTTTAAATTGTTGCGACGTGTTGTTTTTCTGTTTTTTAGGAACTAAAACGTAATGTCATTTAATTTGATGTTGTTCCTATGTGTTATATGTTAGATTGTGTCTCCACCAAAACTGAATACGGACACCGACAGGCCCCTTGTGTGTCATTCCATAATTTACATGTAACATCCTGTATGTAGCCTACTGTACTTTTTCCTGAATTACACACCTTTAGGGTTAAAACGGTCAATCTTCGGATAAAGGTAGACACATGCGTACGCCCTTATTTGTTAATTTTTGGGGTTCCTTATGTGCTGTTCTAATTTTGATTTCATTCTGTTGTGTGAAACCTTTATTTATCACGTATTTATGATATTCTGGATGTTAAAAACAGAGCACAAGAAATGTTGGTGCTTTAACTTTAAATGAAGTTATGATCTTATCTTATCAACAATTGCTATACTATACGTCACAGAGAGTTGAAAGCTTGAACTTTAACGGCAACTTTTGCCATTTTTTCAGGCAACTTTTGGACAAAAAAATGGCTATGAACGCAGAGATACTAGTACATAGTTTTTACAGAGCAGGAAACGCGAATAGAGCTATTTTTTAAGAAGGTGAAGGGGAGGGGGTGAATATTTGGGCTATGAATACTATGATGTGTAGCCCAAAATAATTATAAGGTTAGGTTGTTGTTGTTGTTTTTTTGTTGTTGTTGTTTTTTTGTGTGTTTTTTTTTTGGGGGGTATTTGGGCTATATTGTGTAGCCTACAGGTCATCCAACAATAATACCATAGATATATATATATATATTTATGCACTCTCCAACAAAGTGATAAATTTGGCGACAAAACACTTCTTTACAACGCACAAACAACAATTCCTTTATTGAGCATGGACTCAGAAATTGCAAAACACGTTGAACAATGCATGAAATATGTAATGATCCTCTTACTTTAAATTTAAAATAAAGTTGAGGCAAAAGTTATTCAAATTCAATTAAAAGAAACATAATGAGCGACCCAGTGCTTTGACTTTGAGTACATTACAATAAAATCATGCTTTTTTAACAGTTTGTTCGATTAGAATTAGAGTATCATGTCCATTTCAATAGTAAGAACCTAGAACTAGAAGCAGGATTTTCAAGTCCTATTTATATATATCCATCTGCCATAGGACAGAACCGACAAGGCCACTAAAAAAACAACCCAAAAAACCCCCCATCCTATTCCCAAAACAAGAGGTAAAAGTTACTGACTCAGTGACTGAACAATGTATGTGTCCTTTTGGAAACTGAAACCACAGACACCAACAAGGTAGGTCCAGGATGACGTAAAACTAAAACACACTGCAACAAAGCAGCTGAACTAGCGGAGCTTTCTCAAACACAGCAATAGATAGACTACAGTTTCAGTAAACAGGGTCCGTTTCCAGGATTAGATGACGTACATATGCATTTTAAATCAAAGTCCCTAGGCTATAGTAAAGCAAAACAGACTCGTGTAAAAATCAACAAATAAATACAGAATATTATTCCAAGTTGTGAAAGTAAAGACATTAGATCTATAAACGCAAAATGAAACACAACAAAATTCAAAAGTTCACAGAGCAAAGAAAAATTCAGTGTTACTGTACGTTAAAAGATCTAACAATCATGTAAACTTATTTAGCATTGATACAATGTACCAAACTTCTTTCAAACGGCAGTCAACTGTATAAAGTAAAAGCAAAGACTGAACTATGCAATACCCTCATGACTCCTCCTCCAGAAAATTTTCAATCCTGAGGTAGAGATTTATATATTTATATCATTTGCTGTAGCTCTAACTCCGAGTCCGAGTCAAAGGGTGGAGGAGGACATAATGTACATGATTTTTATGAGTTAGTTGTCAACCAATTTGCAAATTGCAGTCACTCCCTTAAAAGAAAAATCTCAGAAGGAGATATCAATGGGAATACAATGTGGCCCCCCAAAAACAAACAAACAAACAAACAAACTTGTTATTTCGCATAAAATTATAATTTTGACAAAATAAATTTTTTAATCGAAGTACCGGTTCCATGGTCTTTTTTCCCTACATCAACTCAATTATGAGCCACTTCACTGTCACATGTGTCCAATTCCTGTGCAGGGAGAATTTTATTTTAGTTTTAGCATGTTCAGTCATTCTGCACAGATGTTGTATTTTGTATCCCTCTCCTCAACCCAAGCCTGCCTCCTAAACCTGTCCCTGTGGTTTTATGCACTCCGCATAATTTAGCACAATTTGATCATTTTTTGCGTAATTTCTGATTACCTTCCTTTATCATTCTTTGTAAAAATTAACAGAATTGCAAAATTTCAGAATTTTTCTTGCATATAAAACGACTGGGACAGCTTAACAATCTAGATCTACATTGTGTTGATGAGAGCATAAAAAACACCTGTTTCTACTTTCAAGTAAATTCAAGGTAGTGCCAAGAACAGCACTGGCCAGATACATGTAATTGTAACCAATTTTGTTTTTTCTCAAATTAATTGCAGCTAAACAAAAGCCTTGTTTAGGCATGCAGGAGTTTTATTTGTTGTGATTATTGTCCATACATGATACTTTTACTAACAAGGCGATTTAGAGAAGGGATAGCTCTAACTTGAAAAAGAAGATCAAACCAAGCAATCATAAAATGCAAGTAAGCCCAAACATTGAAAGCCATAGTATAACTTTTCCCCCTTTAAACTGTTAGCTACTAATTAGGAGAAGTTAGTGAAAAATGTTATAATGTACTTCTTACAAAGTTTTGTGGTAGACTTTAAGTAGACCAAAAATTCTGGCTCCAAAGAGAAAAACTGGCAACCCCGCCCGTGGGAATAGGCTCAAGTGAGTTAAAATGCTGAACAAGCCCACGTGTGAAAAGCACTTTTGCACTATGAACTTTAATACGTGAAGGTACAGAAATCCAAACTTACTGATGAGCATCCTTAAGCCATACTGGGGATGTCTCTAGTTTCCTAACTCAAATCAGATGTGGTTGAGTTACAATGTAAGAGGAAGAATCCCCAGACCTCTGGCTTTAAGTTTAAGGTGTGCAAAAGTAAGAGATGCCTATGTTCTGGAGAACCATTCACACTCTGAACTGTTATCAGTAATAAAGATTGAGAAGATTAGAATAATTAGATCAATAATATCAATTGTACGGTACATGTACTTTTTTTTTAACACTCAAAATTTTTGTGGAATTTACTTGAAAGATGCAACACAGGCCCACCCAGACACTCTACATCAGGCGGTTCCTGGATAATTTGAGTTACCAGAAGCGACCCTTGGCCTAGAGTCAAGGAGCAGATGTAACACTGAAATTTCCAAACGACCTATGTTCAAATACAGACACACATACACATACATGACATATAAAATGTATATACAGTTCAGTTATTACATATCATTTACAGTATTATCAATAACATGTATGAGACTAAGTTTTCATACTCGCTTTGTTCAGTTACAGACATACAATAAACAGTATAACATGTCATACTATCTAATCAATAACAATCATGTATGAGAAATATTTAATTCTCTTTTATCCCAATGATAAGTCATTGAATGTTTGAAATAAAAATTTTAAAAAGATGAGAGACCATGACCAATAAAAATACACAGTGCAAACACAATACCAGCAAAACAATGCAAGTTGACATTTCAATAATCCCTTAAGAAGGGAATGTGCTTAACAATAGTGGAAACAGCCTTGTTTGTGCCCCCCCCCCCCACCCCTCAATCTCTTCTCTCAAATTTGACTATGGTTAGGATTAGGTGACTGAGTGACTTAAAAAAAATCTGACAAGAAAATTTACATAAAAAATAAAAACCTCTCTTCCAATAAATTTTGCTTTCTGGGCTTAGAGCACTTGAACAGCTTGCATGCGGAATGAAGCTTTTGCTGCCACTGAAGCCAGAAGACAGTTTCACCATTTTTGCTGAGACAGCATAGTCATGTTTTTCTTAGTAGTAGGGTTTTACGGTTACTGTGCTCGCAACTGCATAAGGCCATATGAGCGCCAAGGAGTGGATGTCAAAAGATTAGTCCAATCGGGGAATCAGGCTTACTCTGCTCATCTCTCTAGCCCCAAAAGCACAAAGTCTACTTTGATTATCAAGGCACCCCGGAAATAGCAGTTCACAAGAGAGTGACAAACATACAAAAGAAGTAGAGAAAAAATGACAATCATGTTTGCGAAAGGACAAAACAGGCCTGCCCTAGAAAAATCTGTTTTTAAAAGTGAATTTTAGAACTGCACACAAACTCGAAAACCTTAAAATGCAAACTTAAGTAAGGGGAAAAAAAGTTGGTGGTTTTACACCCACATCAAAATCAAAATATTCTAGATAATTTAGGACACAGGCTCTGACCCTAACTCAGTAACCGGCAGAGCTAACCCGCACTGAGAGTCTGAGAGGGACAAAACATCAGAAGAAAGAGTGAAAGAGAGAGATACTCAATAAAAATTCCCCCCACTTGGGAATTGAATTCAAGGCTCCCATGTGTGACGGCCAAGGGTCTAACTGAACTGCTACACCACAGACGCCAGTTCAAATAATAATAGAATTTTTTTTTTACATTTCTCAACAGCAGGAAGAAAATACCTCAATCTAAACTTTATGATTACTTTGTAAGAACAAAACCTCCTCAATATGATTTATCGGTATGCAGCTTCTTTTAGCAAGTACTTGGTGTCCTTCCTTGGAAATCAATCTGGCAGCTGGGATCGATATTGCGGGAATACATAGGAATTCTCTTGCAAGATCACTCAGATGGGGCATAACTGTCCGATTCTCTTTCCACCACTTAAAAGGTGCAATTTCATCTCTCCTCAGCAGCATGCTTTCTTCATAACGTCTCATTTCAATTGCAGCTCCCGTGGTTGCAGGTGATGAAGCTTCTATTATATCATTCACCTTGGAGTCAAACTTATTCCACAGAGACCTTCTTTTTCGAGGAGGAGGGGATTTTTCTGGTCCGCGTTCTGCAGCAGCTGATGTCTGTTCACTCATAAACTTATTACTGAGCTTCGCCGTGAGGCCACTCTCTATGACCTTTGCTTTGCCCGAGTCTGCAAAAGGCACGTACTTGAAGCGTGGATCCAGAACCGTTGAAGCCCCACACTGGAAGTTCTCTTCAATGAAAGGGAACAAGAGGATGAGTTGATGCTGGAGTTCAGAGGTCAAATCAAAGGCTTGATCGGGCATCTCAGACAAGTAATCCTGCAGTTGTCTTACCACGGGTATCATCATGGACAGAGGTGTATACGTCTCACTGCACATCTCCTCCCAAGCCAGTTCAAAAGCCTCAAGCGTATCCACAGTTGTGCTTATGACATTAAGCTCCCCCGGGGTGATACATATGTTTGACTCTGACTGGAAGCCCTGCAGTGCTGCACAGACAGACTCATGCCTCTTTAGATAACTACGAAACATTGAAAGAGTGGAGGGCCAGTAACGTTCATCATGCACAGTTAATCTTTCTTGGGACTCGCCATTCTGCGTGTCATACAACACGTTCGCAAGCTCTGTGCTGCTTTCAAAATAATTCACAATGTCTCTCACTCGGTTGGCCACTGCAGTCACCATTTCTGATGATTTCAAGGCTGTGTGAATAGCAAAATTTAAAGCCTGTCCAAAACAAAGACCATGCTCCAAATTCAGACTCTGCACTGCAGTGACCAAGTTCGGTGTTTGATCAGTAATGACACTATTTATTTTGCTGTCAATTCCCCACTGCTCAAATTCTGTTTTCAGACAGTGTGCAATTTCTTCAACCCCTGCTTCATTACTCACGCATGGAGAACTCAACACCATTGACTTCAATTCCCATAATGGGGTCAGGAAATGAGCGCTTAAAGTCAAGTAAAAAAATGTATTACCACTACTAACAGTACCACTAGCCTGTAAGTCTGCATTCACGGGAGTCCACTTATCAACACTAACAGCTACAGTCACAGCCTCTTTAAGTGAAAATTTCACCTCCTGTTTGACACATTCATAGCTTTCTTTCAAGTATGTAGTTGCAAAAGCCTCTGGTTTTGGCAAGGTATACTGTGAGTCTAAAACCTTTACAAACTGCTGAAAGCTTTGGTTCTCAGTCAAAGAAAAAGGTAGCAATTCAGAACATACCATGTTCATAAGAAGTGAGTCCAGTTTTTTTGTCTTGTGTATAGTAATTGGTTTTCTGGTACTTTGAGACTCTACTGCTGGTGCCTCATTATGAGAAGCCCTGCTTGCAAGCAGATTAACTAATGGTGACTTGATCTGAGAAGCCCTACTACCCTTTGAAAGAAGACTGACTAACTTAGGAGCAGGATTTACCTCCTCTTCTCTCTCAGTTTTCATTACACAAAGTCCCCCACCACTATCCTCCCTTTCTTCAGAGATTCCTAAGGTGCTGAACTCCGTTGGGTGGTTTACTTTTAAATGCTTACAAATGGCCGATGTTGACTGGCCAGCATTCCAAAGGAATGTGATACCACACAAAGAACAAGTAACAGTAGTTCCATCTGCATTTTTAGTCATTACATTCCACAATTGAGGGTGTTCTGTTGTCCCACTGTCGGAACCGTTGCTTACTACGACAACACAGTTTCCGACTTGATGTGTTCGTTTTGATAGATTTCTTTTTCCTTTAAATGTGATTCCTGATGCCACAAATTCTTTTGGATGTTGCTGTCTGAGATGTTTTATCATAGAAGAGGTTGTACCTCCGGTACGTTTGAATCTTGCACCACAGACTCTGCATACCGCTTCTCCAGGCGAACCTGCAATTCTTGACATATACTTCCATACTCTGGAGGTTAGCGTCATGATGGCAGTCGCAGACTTAATTGTGCAGCATACAAAGTTCTTTTTGTAAGGAGATCTAAACACAATGCTCAGGGGAGTCCAAAGAGGTGAACATCGAACATCAGGGACAAGCCAAAAGTCAAAACCTGAAAATAACAAATAACAGAGAATAAACTAGAAGAATAGACTCTGTACAGATGTAGTCTGCTTAAACAGAAATCTGAAGGGCTGCCAGATTTTCTTTGGTTTAGAGAGGTTGCTCGAATATAAAGAATTCTTAAAATCTGGCATTTTATTTTTTCTTTCGGTTTTCTTTTGTTTTTCATTTTCTTCATTCGGTTTAAGCAGAGATACTCTGGACACATGATAAAAAATTGGATAATGAGTCATTTAAAAAAAAAAACGTTTTCATTTTTTGGCCCTTTTTTGTGTTACATACACACAAAAAGGGATGGTTAGAAATAAGACTGAAATCTCAGCCTTTTCCTTTGAAAATAATAATGACAGTAATTTTAATTTTGTATTCCACAAAGGCTCAATGGCAAGCTCTCTATGCACTTTGCTTTCTACATTATTACACCAGCAACATCTAACAGCACTTAGAGACAATCTCAACTTCCTGGGAAGCATACACAGAATAGAGAGAAGATCCTCAATTGAATGACTTTTCTCTCACTTCAATGACAGAGCAGACAGTTGATTTTGGAATTATAAAATTGGTTTCAAATTTGGCTATATTTATCTAGCCTTTTGTGGCCAGGAGCCTTAGGCAACGGTATTTCTGTTTAAATGGCCATACTATCCGTGCGAGTACTCGCTAGCTTTGAGCGAGACTATACTTTGCTTTGTTTCTTCTCGCTTCCCGTTCGGCCTGTCAATGTGATTTATTATCTGCGGGTGGTGTGTCTTGTGCCGCTTCCTCACTCACTTCCTGACTATTGTTCAATCTAACATCCCCATTTAACTATTTTCTACAACCAGCTTTAACTTCAAGATCTGAAGTTCCATTTCAATTGACATCACAAATATAATCAAATTGACATTATCTTAAGTGTGCAAGAAAAACCTCTTCTTTGAAAGAAAAAAAAGATCACCAAGACTTTTTAAACAGAGACAAGAGGAAAGCCTTTGAAGCATTCTATAACCAGAACGAATGTTTTCTTCACCGTCTTCTAAATCATGTGTTAAGTGGTGGTATTCTATTTGTGCATTAATGGGATGCACTGAATAATTTCTATTGAGACTTGAAACAAATTTACTCCGCAAGACAGTGAGGAGACCTTTGAAGCAATTCAAACACAAGAAACTGTCTGTAAGTAGCCATCTTGCTCATTTTGAGACAGCAACACCACCCTGCTCCCTCATTTCAGTGTTTGTAGATTTCATCTCCTGGCTTTCTAGACGTCTCTACGTACTCCGCTTGAGTCCCGAAAATTACTAACCCCATCTCTAGAATCGTGTTTCTGACCCATGGGCTAGTCAACACACCAGTTTATACCTCAGCTGTTAATTAATATTGGCCTACGTCTATGGGTGAGTTTGACTGCGTCAATGTTTGCAAATTGAGGAAGGGAAGCAGTGAATATATCTGATTATGAAGACGCTTCGCCCTCGATAAAATACCCATCTATATTATATTTATTGTTAATTAGAAATTGAGATATTTTTGTGAATGAGGGAGGTGGGCTTGCCTGGTGACTTAAAATTAGAGACAAAATGGCTGCCAAAGTTCGGTGACTTCCAAAACTGGTGTGTCCTATGAAACTGAAAACTTATAATATTTTCTCTGCCTTCGATCATCGTTTTTCCGTAAAATAAACACAGGAATGTGTTTTAGATGGACTATAAACATGTTTAAACTGTGAACTGAAAACAAAAAAATACTGATAAAAATTACCCAGCACATGAAAAAATTTTGGTTTCTTCCATTTCATTACCTTGACGAGAGACTGATTTCACGACAGTGCAACAGACACACCAGATTTTTAAATTTTATCATCCTCATCCAAGACACTTTTGGTCGAGGTATGGAGGAGGGAAATTGAGTAATTCTTTTATTTTTAAAAAAAATTTAGAGGCAGGGAGAAAGAAGAAGAAAAGAAGCAGTAGAAAAAAAAAAGAAAGAAAACTAGGCATGATGGTAATGCCTGGAACTGAACCTGAGAGGCAAGCAGCATACATGTACCTCATGCCACATATTTCCCCAGGTATTATTTTACTCATGGACCCATCTAATACTCAGGTGTTCATTTTCATCTGCTTTTTATGAATTTTGACTTTATATCCACTGCAAATTATTAGTTTATGAGACTGCAAATATTACTGAGATGTTTAGATATTTCTATACGAACTATATTACAATAGGACCAATGGCGTATTTGACTGGCTTTTAACAACATGGCAGGTTTCAGGGTGTGCCCGCGCCCCCCCCTAAAAATAATCCGGGGGGGGGGGGGGGGGGGGGTTCAAGGGGGAATGCTCCCCTGAAATTCACCATAATTTGATGTTTTGGCAATTAGGACTGGTATTTTCTTGAAAACAATTGATTTCCAATGGTTTTAGGCAATATGTGTGCTCCGCAGCAAAAATTATGGCAGTTTAGCCCCCCAAAAAGGTCATCTTGCGTTAGAGGGATTCTGCGGGGAAGTGCCAGTACATAATTGTTTTATTTATATAAATGCAAGGTTGGTATTTTTTATTACTTTGCAACTGCATGAAGTTCAGGTTCATAGGGTTGAAATTCAATAGGAGGAAGCAGAACAATAAATTCAATGCTAGATTTTTCGGCCTCTCTATAAATAAATCATCGATGGTCATGGTCAAGGTCATTTTTCTGGTTTTAGGTGTTCAACTGTTTTAAGTAAGCCCAATTTAAAAAGCAACCTTTTTTCAGGAGAGAGATTTTTAAAAACCCAACCAAACAATAACATGCAAGTAAGACCTTTCATTTTTCAAAACAACAAGAAAATGTAGGTCCTACTTTATCTCAAAGGTATTCTATTATTTTCCCTCCCGTCTCATGTACTTAGCTATAGTTATAGGCCTACTACTAGTAGTCAATTTTCTACTAGATCTATATATATATTGATGCGCTGAACCCGAATTTATATCAACTTCATTTTCGTCGCAAATTAATAGTTTAAAAAATATTTGATGGTTTTTAATTGAGCTGCTTAGCCTTGTAACTCCGAACACACACAACCGATCCCGAAGTGGAAAACGCCATAATACGCGCCTTTCTTTCCTCTTTAATTTGATAGGCGGAAGTAATCCATAAATTGAAAAGAACACTATATAAACGAAACAAAACAAATAGGTACCCCCCTCACGGGGCCCGATTTCTCACACAAAACGCGGCGGCCGCAGGTGAACGAAAATCTCGGGCCGCGCGGGCCGATATCCAAGTGCCTAGCTTAATGTAATATCACACTAACCCTAACGCATAATAATTTGCGCCCTTTGGACCAATGTGGGGGGGGGGGGGGGTCTGAAGTTTAAAAAAAAATCTAGGGGGGTTACAGGGCATGCCCCCTGATGTAACCCATAATTTGAAATTTTGCAATTAGAAAGGTTTGAAATTTTCTTGAAAATAATTGATTTGTGACAGTAGTGGCTGTACTGTAGATCTATATGTGTAATCTGCAGCTAACAATACTGCAGTTCGACCCCCTTAGTGAATCTGTGAGCGGTAGTGAGAGAAACAACTGAGAGTAAAAATTTACCATCTCTACTAATCTAGATCTAGATCTATAATCAAGAGAAACCACAGGTCAAGAAACTGCATTCTTTTTCTAACTTTGGGCTCAGCCAAGTCGTCTGGGCTAGATCTGAACAGCTGGCCCCGGGCTTGGGGCTTGGGGCTTGGGCTGGCCCATAATTTACTATGCGCGGAAGCCGCCGGAAGAACTGTGGGGTCGGGGCGGCCCCGGATTTAGGCAAGGTCTTGATCTTGAGGTAGAGGTTAAGATTATTACTGAACACTCGTCAACACAAACGATGACATCATAATATCACCTTTAGAGCTATGCTTGCGTTTAGGGCTGTCAAAGCTCAGGCAGGATTGAAGACCGAAGCGTTGAGCGTTAAGTATTGACTCCGAATCGCTGAGTCGGGCGTCGGTCGGGTCGGGGAGTCGTCAGAACGCCGATGCGATGAGTCAATGAGTATGCGCAGAGTCGGGTTCCGGTTTTCATATCCGGTGAGATTAATCCCGTTCGCAAGTAATTTTTGGGTATCGAGCTCATATCCGAAGTTCACAAATACAATCTCCACAAGAACATTGGCTTGACAAATCTTGTGTTTAAGTTAGGGCCTAGTGCATGTAACATAGGGCTTTAAAATAAAAATGAATTAAAGAATCATGTATCAACCAACCTTGAAATTGAGCCCAATGGGAAATAGAGTGTAGTAGTCAGATCAGCAATTTACAATGATCCCGATTCTTTACCATGCCGATACTTTGACATATTCGGTTCCCTCCTATGTAAATCAATACCTCCTCGATTCTATCTTGTAGGCCTACCTGTTGAAAATTGGTTAGGCCTACTCTGGACAATAAAGCTACTGTAGACCTAGACATCTTTAGCCTAGCCTAGTCGAGGCGTTGTATGGCAGCAATGTTCTTATGAAAGACTGAATTTGAAAACTTGTAGGCCTAAATAAAGATGTGAGGAAGTTGCGAGTTAATTTTAACGAGGCCTAATTTTAATTAACATTTCCAATTGAATTGCGAAAAGAAATTTGAACGAATCTTCATAGGAGGGGAGGCTACTCTGTCTGTCGACGGGTCGCCGGCACAAATAATGTCTGTTCTTAGGAACCGTGGGTGCGCCCTTGCAAGGGCGAGACTTTCAGCTAACCTCTGTTTGAATTCAACTGTCGCTGGCACTTTGAGACATAAATCAAGTACGAAACTGGGTAAAGAGGTAAAACTTTTAGAAATTACGTCTTGCGTACAATGAAAATGTTCGTTCAGGACAGGACGAGCATTACCCGATCTAAGGAAGTGGCTATCCTCACTCGCGGGGTGAGAATAAAAATGGGTAGATTCTAGATCTAGAATCTAGATATATCTAGAATCTAGATCTAGATCTAGATCTAATCTAGATATAGATGTAGATTAGATCTAGATCTAGCGATGTTTCGAGGGCTTGCCGTCTGAAGATCGTAGTTGATATTTCCACTGCATGCTGTCTGAACATCGGAAGTGATACTTATATGGTATGCCATTTGGAGTCTAAAGATCGGAATTGATATCTCGATGGCATAAAGGCTCTGCTTGAAGTGTATCAATGATGCAAGAATTGTGTGTTTTCCAGGCGATGATTCGGGTATCATCCCTAACCGACCCAACCCGACCCGATCCCATCCACAAATGGGCGCCCTACTGTTGGAAAAAAAAACAACAGTCTTCTTTCCATTTTACTTGCACAAAATAAATTGTGAATCTCTCTCATTCTCGTTACAATTTCACAAAACATTTCATCAATGTCCATAATGCACAAAATGATAGCAAAGGATAAACGTTGTTTAACTAAACATACAAATCTTAAATTGTATCTATAATACGTTACTTATGGAAAAGAGATTAGGCTTAATTATACGAAGTGACTATTTCTCCGAACGTTCGGAGAAATAGTGCCGATCTTTATTTCTCCGAACAGTTTTCGGCTTCCGGTCTCATGATTTATTGCGAGAGTTCGGCGCCAACTTTCATTCTGCCTCTGGTCTGGGAAGGAACACGTACCGCATGGCAAGCCCGCCTACAGACAACCTTCAGTAACACCCACCACACACCCACCACCATCATGCACATGTACACACACTAACTAAACATAACTAGTGGGCAACTTTTGAACGTATGACGAGCTGAACTGTGGATGGAGAGACAGTGTGAGTGAAAGAGCGGGTGAAAGGAAGAATGTGCGAGTGTATCCACAGGCGACAGCAACTACAAGACGACGACACTGACCACCCCTGGCCTGGTCCACAGCTCACGAACAAAAGGAATGCAGCTCAGGCGGTGTTTTGCCTATATTATTGTCCATGGTTCGCAGGGAACAAGTGAGATTTTCTTTGTGTGTGCCTGGAGGGATGGGGTGGGGTATGAAAGTCATGCGGACGGGGATGAGCCGCGGGAGAGAACACGGGAATTGAATGAAAGAGTGAAACTGAAAGAGACGAATGACTCATGAGTCCTGGAGTGAATGGATCCTGTGTTTCTATTTTTGTATACTTTGAACTGTTACTGAATAAAGGCTGAAATAAAGCCCGAAAAACAAACAAACACACACACACACTCCTCACTCTCCACTTACTACCACACACAGACACACTCAAACACTCACACATACATATACACACACACACACACACAGGAGCAGATTTTTGGTTCTATATCTATTTCAATTTTCAACAGCTAGTCTAGATGAGATTTTTAGATGGGTGTAAAAACGTGAAAAAGAAAGGTTTCACAACAGAAAGAAATCAAAATTAGAACAGCCCATAAACAACAACAAACATTAATAAATAAGGGCGTGTGTCCACCTGTCCGAAGAAGATTGGCAGTTTTAACCCTAAATGTGCTTAATTTTTTTTAAAGTACAGGATATTACATGTAAATTATGGAATCACACACATTAAGGGGCTTGCCAGTGTCAGTGCAGCAGTGACAAACGCAGATGCCAGTTCTATGTGTCGTTATCAATAACCCTCCGTAGATCTAGATCTAGACAGCACACGAGTGAACACAACACATTACGTTTAAAAGCAGCACCCTTCATAGGCAACACGTCATATCTATAGCGAAAAACTGTTTGGAATTGTAGCATTTCTTTATATAAATATTTACGGCGGACATTTTTTGGACAGATTGAACCATATTGTATACGAACAATCTTTGGTAGGCCCATACTATAATTATAGATCTATATAATATCCGAAATTTGGGGGAAAGGATGGTATTTCAGAGTGTTCGGAGAAATAGTGCCCAGCTTTATTTTCCTGAACGTTCGGAGAAATAGTGCCCAGCTTTATTTTCCCGAACGTTCTGAGAAATAGTGCCCAGCTTTATTTTCCCGAACGTTCGGAGAAATAGTGCCGGCCTTAATTATAAGACAACACGTGCTATTTGCAACGCCGCGTTCTGAATAGCTCCCATGCTATTTGAAACGCCAGTACTAGATCTAGATCTAAATGTAGTAGCCATCGTTTCTACATGATAATATTGTAGTTCTGCCTGAATTGTGGAAGCTTTCTCAGTTTTTTGATAAACCTCCTAGGATTTGACTCCTTTTTTTATGACGTTGTCTTATTCCGATCAATATTGGGTAGATCTAGATCTAGAAAAATCTCGATCTAGATTAGATCTAACAATTGTTTTCCTACATTGTTTGCTCAAAAGTAGACGTCTTGTTCATCTCTCATAAATAATCATAATCATCTGAGTTAGAGTTTGAGCAAGTTTAAGTCGAAAGACGCTTGGATAACAAAAACAAGACGGTGCAACTCGAACTTTAAGTTAGGCCTAGAGAACGTATAAAGCTGTCTACGTTCTCTAAGTCTAATGTTCAGTGCTTCCAAGCGTGGTATCGAATCCCGGTCTCGAAAGAGTTTTTTTTTTTTCCTTCTCCTGAGCCTAAAATGTAAAAAAAAAAAAAAATTAGACTCACAGACCAAGGAAAGCCACTACTGAACTTTAACCAGGCCTAAATTGGTAAAAGGAAAAGTATAGGATATACTAAGGCCTACTTTGTACAGAGATCCTCTTGGGAACATAACTAGAATGTGCATGCTTCATCATTATTTTTTAAAAACTACAAAGCAACAAGATATAATTATGGGAACAATTTGTTGGTCAGTCGAGAAGAGGACAACAACAACAAAAAAAAAAACAAGAAAAAAAAACCAGTCCAGGACCGGGATAGAACCCACGCTAAAAAAATAAAGGTTTGACTTCAAGCGCAGACGCGCTGTCACTTCGGCCATCAGAACTTCTGATAACGATGTGCAGATTAAGCTTGATATTTTACACACGGCGACACGTCGTTTTATTTAGCACTGGGGCTAATCGCAACGCGGCGTTTTATTTAGCATTGGCGCTAATCGCAACACGGCGTTGCAAATAGGCACTTCCTAATTATAAATAGTCCGGATGTTCTGATTGGCTGAATTTATATGCCATGGACTTATCACTTCCGATTTTTCGGCAGCCTGCCGTATAAATATCCACTTCCAATAAAAATACGATTGACCTCGCACCCCGGGTGAGACTTGCCAACATTGTGAAACAAGACCTGTTTTTCCTAATTTCAGAATACCGTCTATCGGTGTGAACAATCAAATTGACAAAAGCAAAGAAAAAAATGACGTTATAGCACAAAAAAGTAAGCTAATTTGATCGTCTACAAAGATGCTGTCAGCTGTTTAGTCTATGGCTATTTGAATTTCACTTTTCGAATCGAGCCAACTACGCAGGTCACCATTTTGTTTAGCCCGAAAGTTTTCGCAAGATGTACTCCTCCTCTCTCTCTCTCTCTCTCTCTCTCTGTCTCTTTCTATTGTCTATCGGTGTGGACGATCAAATTGACCAAAACAAATTTTTTAAAATGATGTTAAAACACAAAAAAAGTAAATTAATTTGGTCATCTACAAAGATGCTACGGCTGCTTCACTTTTCGACTCGAGCCGAACTACTTGGGTCGCCATTTTGTTTTGCCCGGAAGTTCTCACGCTCTTCCTCTCTCTCTCTCTCTCTCTCTCTCTCTCTCTCTCTCTCTCTCTCTCTCTCTCTCTCTCTCTCTCTCTCTCTCTCTCTCTCTCTCTCTCTCTCTCTCTCTCTCTCTCTCTCTCCCTCTCTCTTCTCTCTCACTGCCCACAGACAAAATTGCACGCTTTTAACACAAGAGCGCTGGAACTTTTGTTCATGGCACAGAATTCTACACTTCTGTTATCACAGTTAGAATTCTGTGGTTCATGGTGAACGCTACATTGGTTGGCCTAGGCTACCATAGTAAACGCACACCGGGTGAGAATAGCCAAAAGGCTCGCCTGCCCGGATATTTCTTGATCTAGCCTTATCAACTAATCTAAGCTAAGAGTGTTGTAAAATCAAAACAACTCTGAGTCTGTTCTGTAGCCTACCCACACCCTACTGTCCGTTTATAGTCCTCCCCCCCTATCAACTGACTTGGATAGACTGCTGGTCAAGTCGACATGCGACTAAAAGTAGAACGACGCACCTGCCTGATTGGCTGCTTATTTTAGTGATGTGTTGTCATCGCATTCTGGGATACCCACAGACTATTTTAGAAGACTGTGGAAGATACCAAAGATTCTCTACTGCACTACACACTACACGATCTTTGGAAATACCACATGGAACGACATGTTGGGTCAGTGGCTTCACCTATTATCCGTATTGATGTGTTTTGCATGATAAAATTTCACACTTGCCTACTTCTAGAACTGCCTGCGTTGGTTTGTAACCTACGTTTCATTCAAAACACGCCAAGGATAATCAGGGAACAAGACTTCCATTTTTCTATACAAAATATTTTAAATGAGCTTGATTTTGTATATTAAATGATATTACCTGACAAAAATAAGCTTTAATACTTTTGAATACCATTGTGCAGGTAAAAAGTACAATTTGAGAGCAAAACATTTGGAAATTGACCTATATTACAGTCCGTGTTGGCTTTAAGCACGCCGGCATAAAGCACGTTTCGGACTCAAGCACGCTAAACAGCTCTTACCAATTTTTTGCTATGTTAAATCACACGCCTTTAAGCACGATAACTTCGATTTCGTGCACGCTTCATTTACAAGACAGTCAATACTTTCATGATGACCCATCGAAGTTCGAACATAGTCTGCACCGCAGCAGTGAATGTGTTAAGAGAAACAAAAAGAACGCAAGTGATGGACACACACACTCGCAGAGAGGAAGGCAGAGAGATGCACACAGCCACGCGCGTGGACATAGGATCTAGCTAAGGGCAAAGCTACACAGAGACAAAAAAAATACAAAGAGAGTCGAGGTGACGAGAAAGGGAGGCTGGCTACGATTTCTCCTTTGCCCCTCGCTATCCAATAATCCTGATTATGTATCACGCGCAAGGTGGGATGAATGTGGCACAGCGGGCAGTGGTATGCACAGGCAGTGTGTAAGCCTAGGCCTTGTGTGCTGTATCGTGACTGGTCGTCTAAATTAAGTTTTTCTTTCCCTTTCGACCAAAGGTACTCCACTACTTTGATTCGACCTCAAAACGAAACAAAGAAACAAAAACTACCATGGCGGGTAAAAATGACAGCGCACACTTTTGCACGACCATTACTTACGGACGAAGGGTATGGTCCTGATAACTCAGGAAATTTTCAACTTAAAAATCTCTGGATTATGAACAATGTCTACTTCGCACTCAAGCACGCTTCAGCATTAAGCACGCGTATGCTTTTTATATCCTTGACATTTCTTGAAATTAACGGCTTCCTTGATATAAAGAGTAGGGAGTGAGTGGTTGACGGGTGCTCTGGAGTTGTTTGCTCCTTATTTCCCATCAAACATCTGTCGCCCTTATCTGTCCTCCTCTAATCATCAACATTTATATGACCTTATTGTGTTGCAAGTGCCGTAAAACTCTTACAAAAACTAAACTAAAAAGTATCGAGCAAAAGTATACTCACTGTCAATATCATTGCATGTTTTTTTCAGGCCGGCGAAGGGGACTTTGCTGTGTGCCAGGAGAGGATTTTCTCCGGGATACAGCCCACCGGGATCCCTCATATCGGTAACTATGCCGGAGCTATCAGCAACTGGGTGCGCTTGCAGAAGAAGTTTTCTGGAAACATTTTACTCAGTATTGTGGACTTGCACTCCATCACACTGCCGCAGGATCGGGACCAGTTGTGGTAACCAACTTTCTTCTTGTGCATACCTATCTCAGGGATACAAACAGTTCTTTTCAAATGTGGGCATAAATTTGCCTTGTGGTGTGTGGCATAATGTGGTCTAGTAGTGGTTAGACTGTTGGGCTTAGAAGCGAATGCTCATGGGTTTGAACCCCATCAGGGCCTGACATTGTTGTGTCCATGGGAAAGGCACTGTACATGAAAATTTTTTAGTTTAATTTCTGAAGATCTTAATATGGTGTTTAGTTTCAGCATGAGATATTGCTGCATAATTTTTCCCCTTTCCACTTTTGTGCGAACTGTGCACCAGCAAATACTGGGAACCAACTTTTGTGGTGTAATGGTTTAGCACTTCGCTGCCACTTAGGAGACCCAAGTTCATTTCTGTGGTAGTCCTCTCAGCCTGGGTTGAACCTGACAGGCAGCTGCCTCCTAAATGGTCTTAATTCTGCCAATGGTGTAAAATCACATAAATTTTTTTTTAAGGGAATTTTTTAGATCCTGGGAAGTATACCTGCCACAGACTACTGCTGTTTCAGTTTGGATGTGTGGATAGGAGGCGGGGGTTAAGTCTTTCTTCTCTGGGCCTCTGTCACTCTGTGGTGCATGCTGTGTGTTTCTTTTTCCTTGAAAAAGGCCTAAAAAGAACTCTGCTGTTGTGAAAATTGTTTAAGCTACCGTAGAATAAAATTTGCATGGATGCGTCCTCTTGCTCCTGATATCACAAGCTATTATGAAGGGCCCATAATTTATACTTAGGTCTCAAACATATGTTACAAAAAGTTTACACGGCTGAGTGCTGATTTTCTTTATTTTTCTGACCAAAATTTGAGCTCTTTTATCGTAGTTTGGAGATATTACATGTACGATTGGATCTTTGTCGTATTTTTTCTAGCGCTTGACATTGTAGTAATTCACTATTTTTATTCTTTTATCTCTTTCTTTTTCAGGCAAAATATCCTGGACATGACAGCATGCTTGTTGGCCTGTGGGATAGAGCCAGAAAAGACAATCCTGTTTCAGCAGTCTCTGGTATCAGCAAAACCTTTTTATAATAATAATAAATAGCATTTTACATAGCCCATATCCCTGCTCAACAGCAAGCTGTATGCACTTTACAATCTGTATTATTACTCCAGAAGGTTCTTGAACTCTCAGAAACTTTTTAGGCTTTCGGGGAAGCATACAGTGAAAGCAGTTGATTAAGCACTCAGAAACTAATTAACTGACAAGATCTTTAAATGTCTATAACTGGGTATCCATTCTCACGTGGCTGAAGTGAGGAAAAATCATGTAAAGTGCCTTTTACAAGGACACAACATCAGGCCCCTGATGGGGTTTGAACCCACAACTTTTCAGTTGTTAGCCTCTTTTCTCCCTGTTCCAGTTCATGTGATGCCCAGTGAATATTGATAAGGCTATAGTTATGTGTGTGTTCTGTTACACACTGTGCTGTAGTTATGTGTGTGTTCTGTTACACACTTAGAGGCAGTATAGAAACGCAGTCGCTTGGAGATTTTAATTTCTTGCCGGTGGTTGGAGTGTGGCACTGTTAGCTCCAATCTTTTACTTTTCCCCAACTTCATCCGTCTGTTTGTTTTGATTTTACCCAGCCTTCAAAGACTTACTGTGCCGATGAACTTTAAAAAAAAAAAAATCTAAAATGGGTTTCTCTCTCCATTACACACTGTGCTGTAGTTGTGTGTTTGGTCCCCTGCACACAGCACTGTAGTTATGTGTGTGTTCCACTGCACATGTAGCTGTAGTTGTGTGTGTTCCACATCGCAGTGGATGGGTTGTTGGCAGGTGCTCTGGTGTGATATGCCCTTTCTTTCTTATAAAACATCTATTGTTTTCATCTTTCTTCATTCTTTTCTTTGTGTGTTCGTTACCCTTTAGTAACACCTCTAATCTTTGGCACTTATGTGACCTAATTGTGTTGCAAGTGCTGTAAAATTCTTACTAAAATTAAGCCCCCCCCCCCCCCCCCCAACTAGGGCAGTGCTACTGACTGTAGCTGTCTTTAGTCCATTCCCAAAGGGGAGACATTTCATGTTCCAGGGTTGTCTGCTCTGCTCTCACCCACTCTTTTCAACATTTTCTTGGAGAGAGTAGTCAGTATTGGGGGCAGAACAATAACTAACTACGTTTTACAGACGACATAGACGGCCTTGCAGAACAAGAGCAAGAATTAGCTTGAAAAGACCTCCACAGCCTACAGCATGGAAATCAGCCCTGAGAAGACCAAACTGGTGTCTAACAGCAACAGGAACATCACAGTGGACATCCAGGTCAACAACAAGATGCTTGAGACCGTACGCAGTCAATTTCCTGGGTGCAGTAGTGACAGACGAAGGAACAAAACAAGAAATAATTTCCAGAATAGCGCAAACTTCAGCAGCAATGACCAAGTTGAAAACCATCTTTAAGGACAGAAATATCACATACAAAGATAACATCACAAATGATGAAGTCAAACAACGGATCAAAAATGAAATTGGACCATATGCTGACTTTCTCACTCTGGTCAAGAAAAGCAAACTGTATTGGTATGGACACATCACCCGTTCATCCGGCCTTGCCAAGATGATCCTGCAAGGCAGCGTCCAGGGAAAAAGGAGCAGAGGCAGACTGAAAAAGAGTTGGGAGGAAAACATCAAGGAATGGACAGGCATGGAACTCAATGACATGCTCAGAAAAGATGAAGACCAGAAGGAGTGAAGGAAACTGGTGGCCAAATCTTCAAAAGCGTCGCGACCGACATCCGGTCTACGGGATAGGTGAAGGTGGTGGGATGCACCGTAGAATTGTAAATGGGCTAATTTATCAATGTCATGCTCATACTGTGCCGGAACAACATAGGGGGAACTGCTGCTTTTTCTTTCCTTATCCTTACTATGGTCATTTGGCCTCTACTTCTTTTGTATGTTTGTCACTCTCTTGTGAACTGCTATTTTCAGGGTCCCTTGATGGTGGAAGCAGACTTTGTGCTGTTGAAGCTAGAGAGGTGAGCATAGTAAGCCTGATTCCCCATTTGGACTTCTCTGTTGACATTCACCCCTTGGCGCTCATATGACCTTATGGAGTTGCAAGCGCAGTATAACCTTACTAAAACTAAAACAAAACGAAACCCTAAAACTGCACACTGACCTTCTGTAGTTGTTCGGTTCCACAGGTCCCACTACACTCTGAGCTGGCCTGGATCCTGGGGTGTCTGTGCTCTGTGCCGCGGCTGCAGAGACTCCCGCAGTGGAAGGTACTGTCGCTTTTTTTGTTAATGAGCTACTGGGTTAACCGTTCATCATTGCTAAAGAAAAGATCATTTTCCTTGTCAGCGGGTGGTTTGCTTCTTCTTTCCTATGAAATGTCTATCGTCCTTATCTCCCCTTCTTCTTTTTTATGTTTGTTACTCTCATGTAACACCTGTAATCTTCTGGCGCTCATATGACCTTATGCAGTTGCGAGCGCCGTAAAACTTCTACTAAAACAAAAACTTTTCCTTGTCATTTTATAGTTGTTTAGCTTGCTATTGTGAGATTTTTTTTTTTAATTTACAATGAAGACGGGGGCCCTTCATGTTAGCAAAATTTGATTGAGCGTGTTTTAATAATGAGCTGTACAATGACATGTGAAAATAACTTTCTTATATTGTAAAGAAAAAATCATATTCTATTTTTGTACAAAAATGTTTTGACCACCCGATGCTACAGAAACAACGTACAAACAATCGGACAGTTGAAACTTGGTATTAAACAGGAGGTCAAAAGAATCGTCCCAGAAATTTTTTGATGGCTTATTGGAGACTGTATGAAGCTTACAATTTGAATCCACCGTCTTCAATGGCAATTAAAAAAATTTACATAGATTTGTTTGTCAATTCACAAATAGTGACTATTTAAAATAAAACATTATTATTGTTTTTTGGGTTTGTTTGGGGGGGGGGGGTTTAGACTTTTTTTTTTTTCGTTTTTACGGAACTCGCAACTGCATAAGGTCATATGAGCTAGCAGGGTTTTTTTTTTAAGAAGTAAAATTTTGTTTTACTCTAGTTTAGTTGAAATTTTTTTAACTGACATTTTTCGAAAATATCACTTTGTTTTCTTCATACTGACAGATATGAGATCCCCCATGTTGAATTTAGTTTGTTCGAAGTTTATTTTTTTTTAATCAATCCAAAGATGACTGAGTTATAAATTGATCTTTAAATGGGTCTTTTTTTTATATATCCGGTAAGATAGTTACTTTCAAAGTTTGGCAAGTTTTTGTTTTTATCCATTTTTAACCTGAAGTTCAACATGACTATATTTTCATGAGAACCAAAGAGCTTGTCCCAATATACTGTGGTGAATTGCCCTTCCCTGCCATGCTCAGTATCCATGAGTAATGAGATTCTAGTTTCAAAAATAACTTCAGATGCCTCTATGCATTTCTGAAGTGGCTCCTGTCCAGTTTTCCTTCATATTTGATGTTTGTGTTCCAGGGCAATGTCAAGCTTGTTGTCAACTAAGTTTAATTTAGTATTGGTAAGACTAAGAGTTTTACAGCACTTGCAACACAAATATTTCATATAAGTGCCCAAGATTAAAGATGTTACTAGAGAATATCATACAAAGAAAAAGAGGAGAGATAAGGACGGTAGATGTTTTATAGGAAAGAAGGAGAAAACCACATCAGAGCACCTGCCAACCACTCACATTTTCAGCTCAATGTTTTAAGTCTAAAAGGTTGGCACATCTACTGGCTAGATGCTGCATTATTGTTTTATATTTATTTTCCTCGTGTGTCATAAATAATATTCACATGATTTTAGTGCAACTGTGTTTTCATCATTTATGAAATATTCTTTCTTTTTGTAAACAATTTGGTGGGTAAAGCAAACTTGAAGCTTGAAATCTATCTTTTGCATTTTGAAACTGCTAACGTTTACATATTTTCCAAACTAAACTGGCTGCAAAAAAAGCAGGGAATAGGCTTATGATTTGTAAGAGTGAGTTACAACTGTTTCTGTTCTCTCTCAGGAGAAGAAGTCTTCAGTGAAGGAACCCAGTGTTGGCCTACTGACCTATCCCATCCTGCAAGCGGCAGACATCTTGTTGTACAAGTAGGTGTGTCTGTTTGGAGCACCATGAAGGAGCTATTGCGATGCGGCCTTGCCAACAATACAAAAGAGCCAAAAACCATGACAGTTGAGATGTATTGTTACCAGCATTTTCTGCATGGTTGACTCAAACTTGCTTACGCAATAGGGGTCTGACAGACCTGGACGGTGGTTTAGTTTAAGGATCAGGGTTTCAGTTTTATCACAATTTTTCAATATATATAATTCGGATTCCAAGCCTTTAGGCTTATAAAGTTTGGAGTTAGCTCCTCTAAATCTGGTATTACAGGTATCGATTCTAGCAGTATTTATTTTTGTTGGCTCTGCCGTGGCAGTCATGGGTGAAAGAACTGAGATCAAAGCAAGAGCTCCTCCATGGTTGGGCCTGTCTGTCTTGCTGTGGGGCAAAAGACATTTTTAGTGTCTTGTGTCGTGGAATGTGCTTTATGGTTGTTGTTTTTTCTTACATGATTTACTCAGTATCAAATGTTTAATTGTTAGTGTCTTCGTGCCCACCATCAACACAATTTAGATCGTAAAGTTTAAGAAAGCAGGTTTCACTGTTGTCTGGATGGCCAGCTCATGCTGAGAGAGCTATAAGGTCCTAGCTGGAAGACCGAGATACTTGATAAATTCTCTCCACATTTGAATCAAATTCAGGTCTCCTGAGTGCGACGGGGAAGCGCCAAACTGCTGCATCATAAACACTGGTCTACTGTCTCTCTACTTCAAATCGTGTAAATGTAGGCCTACTGTCTATTGCTTCAGTTCTACTGTATTTCCAATTCAAATTGTGTAAATGTTCTGTCTATTCCTTCAGGTCTACTATATATCTTATCCAGATTGTGTGAATGTACTGTCTATTCCTTCGAGTCTACTGTGTCTTTAATTCAAATTGTGTAAATGCGCTGCCTATTCTTTCAGGTCTACCGTGTCTGTCTAATTCAAGTTGTGTAAATGTCCTGTCTATTCCGTCAGGTCTACTTTGTCTCTTATTAAATTTGTGTTAGTGTTCTGTCTATTCCTTCGAGTCTAGTTTGTCTCTTATTAAAATTGTGTTAGTGTTCTGTCTATCCTTCGGGTCTAGTTTGTGTCTTATTAAAATTGTGTTAGTGTTCTGTCTATTCCTTCAGGTCTACTATGTGTCTTACACGGATTGTGTTAGTGTTCTGTCTACTCCTTCAGGTCTACTATGTGTCTTATACAGATTGTGTAAATGTACTGTCTATTCCTTTAAGTTTACTGTGTCTCTAATTCAAATTGTATGTGCAGCCTATTCCTTCAAGTCTACCGTGTCTCTCTAATTCCAATTGTGTAAATGTCCTGTCTATTCCTTCAGGTCTACTTTGGTTCCTGTCGGAGAGGACCAGACACAACACATCGAGCTGACGCGGGACTTGGCCAGAGCTTTCAATCGCCTACATGGGACTGTTTTTCCTGAGTGCAAGATGCTATCAGGTAACGTAACTCGGGTGTGAGTGTGTATATCATCGGCCAGCTGTTCGGATATAATGTGCCCAAAATTGTTATTCTAAAAAAAATTGTGTGGCATTATGGTGAAACCAGGCGCTCGTCAAAATCATGAAATTGAAGAAACCCTCATTTTTCCTTCCTGTTGTACAATTTATGTATGGTTTGGGGGGGGGGGGGGGGGGGGGGGGGGGCTCAACATCTTTTCTGTCCGTTTGAAAACACGTTTGTGTGTATTTTACTGAAAAACATTGATAAAAGGCACAAAATATGCAAATTTGCAGTTTCCCAGGACACTCAAGATATTTGGAAGTCGCCAAACTTTGGCGATATTTTTTTGCTAATTTTACTTCTGGTATAAGACTACCCTTACTTCATTCAATAGCAAATATCTTAAACTTTTGTTTTATTTAAATGTCCTTAAAAATTTTTATTATTGCAGTGTTTTATTCTGTGGTGTTGGTTGCAAGTGAAAGATTTTGTTTCTAAATGTTGAAAAAAAGCAAGAAATGCTACAAAATTAGGTACAATTTTTAGAGGAATGAAACAGATTTCTATCTCCTTTAACAGTGTTGCTTTCTGGGCTTAGAACAGTTGAACGGCTTGCTGATAATATGAGTTGAGTGTGAGTAAAATAGCGTCGTACATTTTTGTGATATTTTTCCAACGTCATCAATGATTCTCATAATTGTTTCTTATTAAATTTGTATAATTTTCTCAGGGGAAGTACCAAAGATTCGCAGCTTGCGGAATCCCACCAGCAAAATGAGCAAGTCGGAGGCTAATTCAAAAAGCAGAATCGACTTGCTGGACAGTCCGGAAGTGATTCTGGAAAAATGCCGGAAGGCCGTGACAGACTTTACCTCAGAGATTTCCTATGACCCTGAGGGTCGGCCGGGCGTCTCAAACTTGATCGAGATCCACATGGCAATGGCTGACCTGACGGAGGATGAGATTGTGGAAGAATCGTTCTTGCTGGCAGAGGATACAGGGATGTACAAAATGAGACTTGCGGGCATCATCGCCGAGTCACTCGCTCCTGTCAGGGAACGGGTGATTGCCTACCGGAAAGATCCGGACTTCTTGACGGATGTGCTGAAGGAAGGAGCCGCAAAAGCTTCCCTTATTGCGGAGGAAACAATGGAGGACGTGCGCAGACTGGTGGGGTTCAGATGACCCTTGCTTCACACTTAGCCATTAGTCGTTGTCAGATTGTCATCTTTGCTTGAATGTGCTGCTAGATCAGTTGGTATCATGCTAGACTGTGGAATGAATGATCATGGTTCTAACCCCTCCTACTGGGTGCTCTTAACTTGGGTTGTTTTTGGGACTTCTCAAAACTCCACCCATTTGGCTCTGTCCAATCAGAGATGGACATTAAATTCAGAGGTCCCGCCTCGTAAATAACCGTAAAGTATAGAATGGGGAGTAAAACTATACAATTTTGCACATTTTTTTTTTTTCACCCTTGTTTTTTGTACAGGTTTATTTTGTGAGAGAATAAAGATTTGATGCTTTATTTGCTTCTTCGTTGTACTGATTTAGTAGGGGCTGTTGAAGGGTGCTCCTTGTGGGTCTGTTCTCTCTACTATTCATCTGTTCATTCTTCGTCAAACTACAAAAACCATTTGTCACAACTCAAGAAAAGACAACACTGACATGCTGTGGGATTTCACACAATTTATTGTAGATTTGAAATGAAACATCAACAGTAGCATCAGATTGTCAACAAGCTGTTCAAATGTTGTAAGCCCAGAAAGCAAAATTTTTCAGGAGAGATAAAAAAATTGTTTCATTCTATATTGTAATTACACTATCTATCTTTTCTTACTTTTTTCAACTTTCAGGATTTGATTTGGACAAAGTGTTTCTCGAGCATATGCAGCTGATACCATAAATTAAGAGACTGCAATAAAAAGAAAAATTCAAAATTCTGGGCTTACTATCTGAATAGCTGGCCAACGATGTGCGCTATAATACGACTTTGAAGTGCAGCAAACTTGTAACTGGTGTGTTGGTGGTTGTAACCCCTGTGTCTTTGTGACAAATAGCATACAGTACGGTCAAAACTAAGATGGTCACACCTTCTTGAGGAAAAAAGTAGCCATCTTAAGCAGGTGATCATCTTATACAGTGTCATAAAATGTTAAAAAATTTGCGAGGGAAGAAATGAGAAGTGGCTGCTTGTACAGGTGATTGTCTTTTATACAGATGGCCGTTAGCTACATGTACCTAGAGCAGGTTCGAATGTGTGTTGTAAATTCTTACAAGTTCAGAACTTGTCTTGTTTGTAGTGCCATCAGGAAAACTAACATCATCATCTCTCTCTCTCTCTCTCTCTCTCTCTCTCTCTCTCTCTCTCTCTCTCTCT